CCTGGCAAGCACAAAGGCCTGAGTTCAATCCCCAGTTCTGGGGGGAAAAATTATTTGGTTTCATAAGTAGTATCTTCATCAGCTGGTCCTCACCCCCTGTGGCTTTTTGGATAGGTGAAGCCAGTGTTATTCCCCAGAATAACACTTAAATATGGAATCTTAAAACTATTATAGGGTGCTGGGGAGATAGCTCAGTAGAATAAGTGCTTACCTGGCAAGTGCAAGGGCCTAAATTCAATCCCCGGTTCCACCAAAAACAAAACAAAACTATTATGTATTGATATATGAGGTGTAATCAAAACTACAATAAATGTTTACATTTTTCATAAAATTTTCATAGTAAAACACATTTCCATTAGTCCCCCTCAGAATCCTCCTCCTTGCTTTAGACACATCTTGCCACTTTCTGAAGCAGTTCTGGAAGTCCTCTTTCATTATTTTCATGGCTGCTATGATGTCTTGGATCAATTCAAAATGTTTGTGTTGCCAGGCCCGGTGGTGCACACCTGTAATCCCAGCATTTGGGAGACTGAGGCAGAAAGATCACTACAAGGTCAAGGCCATCCTGAGCCACATAGACTCAGGGTTTGTTTTTTTTTTTAATGTCACAAAAAAAGTTTATGTCAATTTTTGTCAACTAAAAACATTACATTGTATCCTTATCTATTTTATTCACTGGATCTGGCACCATGTGCTATCTATCTCCTCCCCAAAGTCAAAATGACCATGAAAGGTAAGGTTGTGAATTGATTCAGAAAATTGAGTCAGCTATAGTAGCATAACTGTAGTAAATTTAAAGATTTATTTATTTATTTATCTATTTTAATTGTGTGTGTGTGTGTGTGGCCAGCTCAGCCCACCAGGGGACGGGGGCTGGCTGGCATGTGGTGCTGGGGGATTGAACCGTGGTCCCTTTGCTTTGCTAAGCTTGTTCTAAGTAGGTGCTTTAAACCACTGAGCCATCTCACCAGCCCCCAACTGTAGTAAATTTAAAAACAAAATTAACATTCATTATATTCTTTTATCACATTGCATAATGATTAGAATTTTTTCTTTTAAATTATCTTCTATATTTCTCTTATTTTTACAATGGGAAATATTTTTCATAATTACAAAATATGTGGGGGGGGCTAATTAAATTTAAATACTACAGAAGTAAGTAGCACCGAAAGTATTATCTGTAACCTGGCTTCCCAAAAGGCAGTCATCACCTAAACTGTGTGCTGCCATTTTGATCCCAGTGCTTTCACCCCTTCTTTTAGACCAGCTAGAAGAACACAAGCTGGGGTTTGTTACCAGCAAGGTAATGGACTGTATGTTGGAAGTAATGTGAAACTTACAAAAAGTATTATCTAGAAAGACAAAAAAGAGCATCCAGAAAAATTCAACTTGGTAGAAATCAATATAAAATAACCTAACAGCAACTAAAACCACATGTGATCAAATTACTAACCACCAAACAGCTAACAAAAATTTTAGAGAAGCTATGTTTGACCTAAGAAAACCAAACATGTTAGAAATAACACCTGCAAAACAAATGTTAAAAACAAAACCAGAAGGAAAAAAAAAAAAAAATAGCTAGTCATGGTGACACATGCCTGTAATGTCAGCACTCAGGAAGCTGAAGCAGAAAGATCTGAGTTTGAGGCTGGCCTTAGCTATATAGCAAGGTCCAGGCCAGCTTCAACTATGTAGCAAGACTGTCAAAAAAAAAAAAAAAAAAAAAAAGACAACTGATACAGGCTTGCTGTTATAAAAATTAATAAACTTTATTGAGAATTTGGCACTTGCCTAATGAAAATGGGAAGAAATGGAGTTGGTTTAACTATGATTTATTGTTACCATTTCTATTACTTTGGTGTTAACATGTCTTAGGGTGGTATCCCATGTTAGTTTGACCTTATTCTTTTTGCTGACTCATATTCCAGTGGATAAATCTATAATAAATTATTACACCTTTTTAAAAACCTACTTTGTTTTACAGAATATGCTTTTAAGGCTATTAACCAGGGTGGCCTTACATCGGTAGCTGTCAGAGGAAAAGACTGTGCAGTAATTGTCACACAGAAGAAAGTACCTGTAAGTAATACTGCCCAAATTGTTACCACATAATGGGGTGCATGAGTTTTTCATGTGTTTATTCAAAGGTACATTTATTCCTGCTTTGACTCTCTACTTTCCTTCAAGCATTCAGCGTATTTATTGACACCAGTATCTGATTTAGCTGAGTAGACAGAAGTAATAAGTTAAACTTTGTGACATAATTATAAGCCCAATGGGACTTCTAAGTTTCTTCTAGGACCTTGAGACAAGGTTGGTAAACTCACTGGAAAGATAGCTAGGAATGGAACTAGAAACTCCAAACTCCTCCCCTTTTAAAGTTGGTCTTAACTGTAAAATGAATGAAAGACTGTATGTCCATTTACTCCCATTATGTGTGTTAACTGTTAGCATATGCTAATAATTCCATACTATTTTTCTTTTATAACTGCCCAGAGACCTGTGAAGGACTTTAATTTTTGATTTCTTCATTAGGATAAATTATTGGATTCCAGTACAGTGACTCATTTATTCAAGATAACTGAAAACATTGGCTGTGTGATGACCGGAATGACAGGTAATCCACTAGATTTCTATTTACTTGCCTTGTTTATGTTTGGTTGGTTATTTATTTATTTATTTATTTATTTTTGGTGCCAAGGACTGAACCCAGGGCTTCCAGCTTGCTAGGCAAGCATTCTACTGCTGAGCCAAATCCCCAGCCCCTAGATTTCTTTTTTTTTTTTTTTTATTTTTAGATTTCTATTTAGGTACACAGTTCTTAGGTTGTTTTCTTCAAATAGTTTTTGAGTTATTGTATAAATTTTAAAGTTCCTTTGATGCCTTATGAGTACATATACAGTCTTTCAAGGCTGGTATCAATATTTTAAGAGTGTTACAAGTTTTTAAAAATCCCATTATAATGGAATTAGGTCTCCACACAACCACTGTAGAAATCGCAGAGTCCCTTCTTGTAGATGCTGTATTTTATGCATGGTTAGTAAAGGGGACTACATCATTATATCTTACTCAAATCTGGTATCATGACACTGGTTGAAAGCAAGTGACAAATTACTTTGTCAATTTTTGTGAGATCGAGAGAAAATTAAGCCTAAAAACAAAACACAAGCAAGATTATTCTGTCCTGCAAGCTTGGTTTTTTGGAGGGGAGTTGCTAGACACTTGCAGAAACTGTTTTGACTGCTGCTGTAAGTGAAGGGCTCAATATAAAAGACAGTGTGGTATTGGGAATCACTTCTTAAGTTTTTCCTTTCTTATGAACTTGTTGCTGAGTACTCAGAGGAAAAAGCCATAGTGGAGCCCTTTTTCTTTACTCCTACTGGAGATGTAGATAAAGATAGATCTATATGGTGTGAAAATAATCTGGCTTTCAGGTTTGTTTTTTAAGGAGAGCAACATTCATTCATTCATTCATTCATTCGTTTGTGTTGTAAGCCGACAGCAGATCCCAGGTGCAGAGGGCACGGTATGAGGCAGCTAATTGGAAATACAACTATGAGATTCCTGTGGATATGCTGTGTAAAAGAATTGCTGATATTTCTCAAGTTTACACACAGAATGCTGAAATGAGGCCACTTGGTTGTTGTAAGTATGCTACAAAATCTCCCAAGTAATTGATGAGTTATAATTTTTTTTAGAGACGTATAAAAATGTTTAAATAACACTTGGTTTCAGAGCATGTGTTTTGGAAACTACTTAAAGTGAGAAAACCTGTAATAAATCGTGACTAAAGGGTAAGTCTTAAAACAATATTTTGGACATATTGTCTTTGTATATGTGGTACTGGGAATTGAACCCAGGTCCTTCTCACTAAGCTATATCTCCAGCTGCCCTCCCACCCATCTTTTTGAGGCAGGATCCCTAAGTTGGCCCAGGCTGTACTTGAACTTGTGATTTCCTGCTTCAGCCTCCCAGAGGGCTGAGATTGCAGGCATGCACCACCATCCCTGGCTCAGAGATTATCTTTAAGCTTTGCATGATACTATTAGATTTCTATCAAAATGTTTCTGTTTAGAATGTGTGATTTGAAAAATGAAGTCTTTTATTTTAGGGTGTTGTAAGGGCTTATAATCAGAAACTGAAGCTCTCAGAAACTTTTTTTTTTTTTTTTTTTTTTTTTTTTGAGAAAAATCTCATTAAGTTGCACAGGCTGGCTTTGGACTTGTGCTCTCCTGCCTCAACCTTCTGAGTACCTGCCATTATAGTTGTGCCTCACCACATCTTGCCAGCCGTCAAATTTTACCTCAGAATTTCTCTTGCTTCTCCATCTGCTGTCACTTTTTCATTGTTTGTTGACTTTTCTGCTGATTTGACCATTTATTCTCTACCTTCTCAGTCTTCCTAGTCTCTTCACTATTCCTTCACAAGTTGTTGTAAAATCAAATTGTGACTATTGCTGCATTGTTCAAAAAAAAAGGTCCTTCATTGGCTATAGGTTAAACCCTAAATGCACCACAGTGGTCATGCGCCGTGGCAGAGGACAGCTGCTAACCCCATCACCCTCCAGGCCACCTAGAGGTGCACTCCACTGATACTTCCTAGGTGATTCTCAAGCCAGTCAGGCTGGTAGTTGAGATGAATCATCAGAGCATCTTTACGGTCTATGAAATCTCATTTTGTCAGATCCTAATGTAAAACAGTATTTGTAGGCCAGGATCAGTGGTGTATGTTTGTAATCCCAGCACTCTGCATGCAATCCTGAGGTAAGAGGATTGCAAATCAGAGCCCAGACTGGGCAGTTCGGAGATTAGTGAGACCCTTTCAAAATTTCAGAAAGGCTGGGACCAAGGGGGCAGCTAGGCTGGGTCTATAACTCATTGTGGAGGCCCTGGTTAAATCCTCAGTACTACCGAAAAAAAAAAAACAAAACTTGTTTTCCCTAAGCAGTACATGGGTTATTTCTTTTATATTGACCTTTTATTTTGTACATGTCAGTTATAAAATGTAAAGAAATTTACAGGGTGATGTAATATTCTAGTAAGGCAGATGCTGATAAATGTCATGTTGTTATTAACAAAGTTTAAAATTCCTCATTAGTAGATGCTCTAAAACAACTGTAAGTATGAATAAAGTGGTTGGCTAACACTGAATCTCACAGCACTGACTCTCAATGGTAGAACACTTGTCTAGTTTGTGTGAGGCCTTGGCTTTTATCCCCAACACGCACTCCCTATACCCCAAAAACTTTTCCTCCAGTTACTATATTACAGCTTCAAGAGAGCAGCTCTTGGTGCCGGGGAGATGGCTCAGTAGAATAAGTGCTTCCCTGGCAAGCACAAGGTCTGCGTTCAATCCCTTGTTCCACCAAAAAAAAAACCAGTTCTCAGAGCAGCTCCTTATCTGTTGCTTACCACTCTGCCATCTTAGAATTGTAGTTATACAGAATAATTTGAGGTTTGCATTGTGCTGCAGATTACATTTTGATGTTCAAATTCTTTCTTAAAATTGTGACATACACACCCTTTTGCAAAGTAGAAATGTATCTATTACCTAATTTAGTTGTGGTGATACCTATGTTGTATTAGTTTGCTTAATGCAAACATATCCTGAAATTAATGGCAGAGTAATGATTAATAACAGCTAATGTGACACTGCCAAGAAAGGCAGTTTTGTTATCTCGAACAATAAGCTATTTCCTTGGGGTCTTTCTTTGTAGGTATGATTTTAATTGGTATCGACGAGGAGCAAGGTCCCCAGGTGTACAAGTGTGACCCTGCAGGCTACTACTGTGGGTTTAAAGCCACTGCAGCAGGTGTGAAACAAACTGAGTCAACCAGCTTCCTTGAAAAAAAAGTGAAGAAGAAATTCGATTGGACATTTGAACAGACAGTGGAAGTAAGTTAAACCAAATTTTTTATGCGATATAAAATAGTGAAGGTCTTTGCATAACTGGCAGTGTTAGACTACCTTCTTAGGTAGCCTATTCCTGAGTTACAGTATAAGATCCAAGCTTTTCAGCTTACTGGTAAAATTGGTGTCACTCAGCTGACAGAAAAAAGAAGGCTGCTATAATTCCTTTCTTATTTCATGTGTTTGAAACAGTGTTCAACAAATACGTATAATAAAATGGGATGATATAAATGAGATTAGAAAACAAGACCAGGCCCACAGACTTCTGCAGTTGCTGTGGCCAGGAGACTCATTAGGGTTATACTTACTGGTAGCAAAAATGAAAAAGTTAAAAAGTCAGCAATATCAGCATAACAGTCCTAAAGGAAAAACAACCACAGTCCACATCACAGAAGCAGTGTATCTGGGATACAAGCAAGAGTAGGGCTAAATTACCACTTAATACTTTTATATTTGGCTGGCAGCCTATCTTATACTAAGGAAGGTCTAAAGTTCTTATCTGGGAGATAGTATGCTTTGTTTAAATTTAGTGTTTTTTTAAAGGTTTTAAAATTTTAATTCATGACTGTGTTATTGGATCAGGTCTGAACCCACTTAAAAACATCCTTAAATTTGTTGCTGTACATTCCTTGTAGGTATAGACTTTTCCTCTCCACTTCATGCCAGATTTTAAGCACAGTGCCCTACAAATGGTGGTTATCAAGGCAGTTAATGTAATTGTTGTTTGCCATACCCCTTTATGCCTTGACTTGGTAGAAGTAAGAGTATTGTAATCGACAGTTGGCACTTTAAAGGTCAGTCTGTTCAGTAGCAGTAATGCTGAAACATGGAGCAGAAATGAATAGCTTGTGGTGGCCTTACATGTTCTTTGAATAAGCTTGGTTTGAGAAAACCTTGGAATCTCTGAATAATAATAAATGTTAATATCGATACTTTTTTCAGACTGCAATTACATGCCTGTCTACTGTCCTTTCAATTGATTTCAAACCTTCAGAAATAGAAGTTGGAGTAGTTACAGTTGACAATCCTAAATTCAGGTGAGTTATATTGTCAGCCATGTATTTAAAGAAGTTTGCTAAGCCTAAAAAGAGGACCTGGGCCAGGGAGATAGCTCAGCAGTCTAAGCATCTGCCTGGCAAGTACAAGGACTTAACCCGTGGCATGTGGGCCATGTGCTGTGCCATACAGGCCACTGAAACCGGGTATGGTGGCACACACCTGTAATTCCAGAACTGGGCGGGTTGAGACCGGAGGATCACTGTGAATCCAAGCTGTACCAAATGAATAAATAAATCTTTAAAAAGAAAAGGTAAAATAAAAGAAATAAAAAGAAATAAATAAAAAGAAAAGGTGACCTTTGGGTGGATTTTGTGGGAGAGGTGAGGAGTGTTCAACTATGATTATATTTTTTTCCTTCAGCTTCTAAAAGAGCTGCTTTGAGCTCTTACAGAGGGATAGGGACATGGCTCAGGCTGCATGCTAGCATGCTCAAGGCTGTGGGCTCAAACCCCAGTATTAACAAACCTTACTAGGTTTCTTTAAGACAAAACAGTAGTGCTAGGTGTGGTGGCACATGCCAGTAATCTCAGCACTCAGGAGGCTGAGGCAGGAAGATTGCTGTGAGTTTGAGACCAGCCTGGGCTAGAAGTGAGCTTAAAGCCAGCCTGAACTGCATAGCAAAACCCTGTCTCAAAAAGATAAAAATCATTTCGTATTGCAAATATGTACTAATAAAAATATGTGTAGAAAAAAGCAGTGTCTCTTCACATTTCACAGTGCTCATATATATCAAACCAGAGGTGCACAAGATTTGGTTATGTAAGACAGCCTAAGTGTTTTCTTTTCTAGTTTATATCCAAGAGAAGTTCAATTCCCAAAGAGTCATTTTCAGTATTTCAAGTGGAGCTTTGGTAAAGTGAAGCTTTAAAGAGCAGTATGAAGTACTGATGCACAGCTAATTGAATTACAGATGCTTAGTTGGTCCAACGGTTGTGTGTTATTGTTAAACTGAATTACAGATGCTTGATACTGGTGTGTTCTCATTCAAAGGGACCGAGTCCCAAACCTAGGCCTCCATGATTCAAACACATACTGGTTGCTTAATGTGCATTTGTTCATTGAACCCTCCCAGCACATGCAAGGTGGTTTGGATACCAGTACCAAGGTGTTCTTGTGATTAGTGAAAAGTAGGGTAAAGTCCACAGATGAAAGAAACCCCCAGGAGGCACTTAACTGTTACATGTATGTATGTGTAAAGCACAACCAGAAGTGTGGTAAACCAAACTTAATAAGACAATGAAGAGTTTTCAAAGAGTACATGGTTTTTTTTTTCAATTTGTTATTTTTGATTGCCCGCACATAAGTGATATAAACAGGAAAAATTCATAGAGTGAAAGACGGAAAAGACTTGAATCTAGCTTAGCTTATTTATATCTGTAGGAGAAGGTTGACTTTAACAGGTTCCCACAAGCTTAACTCGCCAATGGTACATACATGACTGTCCCCATCAGTCGGCTGGTACCCCACAGTGGTGCACATAGGTCTAATCACTTCTGTTGATCTTTTTACTAATAAAAAGGAGAACCACCACCAAGGAACAATAAAAGAAAAATTTACCACTGAGCTTAATAAATCTGTCTGTGAAGTAACAGGGACCACTTTTGTTTCAGCATCTGATATTATATAACATGCTTGAATTCAAGAAGAGAACCACCTGGTAGCGAGACATAAACTATAGACCCATCATAAGCCTGTTTGTTTTTTGTTTGTTTGGTTGGTTGTTTAGGTTTTTTGTTGTTGTTTTGTTGTTGCTATTTTCTTTTTTGTTACCGGGAATTGGAACTCTGGGCCTTGCGCTTGCTGGGCAGACACTGCAACCCTGAGCTTTTTACCCAGCCCTCATGAGCCTGTTTAAAGCAATAAAATTTCAGCGGGAACAGTTTATAAGTCTCTCTAAAGAACTTATAATTCTCATTTTTTTTTCTGAACTCTTTTTATCGCCTTTTAAATTTCATTTGCATCTGGGTTTTTTGTTTGTTTGTTTGTTTGTTTGTTTGTTTTTAAACTGGCTAAGAAGTCAAACTGTGTTGTCACAAATACTTGCTGCTGCATAGTTCACAGGTGATAGCAGGGCTTCATAATAACATGAAGGCTTTGGCTTCTTAGCTAGTTTTTTTTTAATATGAGTAGTAAATAAACTACTCAACATTGTCCCAACTTGCACTACAAATACCATTAGGGTGGTTTTTGCTCCTTAGAAATTCAGCAGGAATGGGGCCGGCCAGATAGCTCAGCAGACTAAAGTGCCTGCTTAGGCAGAGCGCAGCAACTGGGGTTCAATCCCTGGTATGCCATGCTGGCCTCGCCCCTGGGGCGTGCCAAGGCTGTGATTGAGAGACTGGGCATGGTGGTACACACCTGTAATCCCAGCACTTGGGAGGCTGAAACCAAGAGGATCACTATGAGTCCAATCTGTGTAGTTAGACCCTGTAGACCCTATACTGAAAAAAAAAAAAAATTCAAGAACAAGTCCCATTAATAAAGTTGCCAAGTAATTGATTACTTTTAAGACAAATATCATTTAGGGAACAGCTTCAAGTGGAGCACCTTCTGGCTATTTATAATTTTTTCTCAGTGAATTTTCTCTTAGCACATATAAACTGGAGTTTTACTGGACATAAAAGCATTATGGCATTGTAACTAAATAGAACACATGTTAGCTTACCTTTATACTCTACAGTTGGTACATTTTCTGTCTCTGCTACAACGAAAAGGTTTTGACCTAATTTTAGATCTGATACTAAGGAAGTAAACATTTTTGTATATAGATGAAGTTGACATGTCTGGATTCCTTCAAAATCTATGCAGTAGTAGGTATTCTTTTAACAGTGGCTATTGTCTTTTATATGTTTGAACTTTCCCATAATAAAATCGTGTGTAGTGAGTGCTTGTGGATTTTTTACCCTTCTAGGATTCTTACGGAAGCAGAGATTGACGCTCACCTTGTTGCTTTAGCAGAGAGAGACTAAACATTGTCATTACTTTACCAAATCCATGAAGCCACTTGCCTGTGTGTTTGCTAACAGAACAATATCACGGAGGCCCTTGGATTGAAAGCAAAACCTCTCCACTCCTGCCACCCACGAGGGTAGGACTCTGTATAAATAAAAACAGTGCTTTTGGAAAATAATTGTATCCTGTCTTTTAACATACAAAATGCTAAGCTAGAGTGCTGCCTTTGAAATCAGTTTGGGCTGTAAATGGCATGTAGGACAAGGCATTTATTTTATAGTCCCTTATTCTAGGCCACGGAGATAGCTCAGCAGCATAAGCGCGTGCCTGGCAAGCACAAGGTCCTGAGCTCAATCTCTGGTACTGCCAGGGGTGGGGTGGGGGAATTAATTACCAAAGTTCCTCATTCTAGTGGGATATTGCTTGTCCTGGAAGGCTTGATTAACCTGATTGATCTCATAGATGTTTTTGTTGTTTTCTGGTGGAGAGAGGAATTGAACCTAAGGCTTCACATGTGCTAGCATGTGATCTGCCATTGAGCTACACCCCAGCCGCCTTCAGGAAAATGGCTAGAAGCATTGTGTGTATTTTCTGCGCTCCCTAAAGATTAAGTTTTTGGAGCAGACAATAAGGAGTTGGTTTAAAGTTTAAAAATAACACCATTACCATTGTTATGTCGGCACAAAAAACCCCTACATTCAGAGTAATCTCTATGGAATTTTTTCACCAATACTGGGGATTGAGCCTTAGGCATTCTAATCACTGAGCTACATGACCAGCCTTTTTTAGTTTTCAGGTGGTGGTGGTGTTTTGTTTTTCTTCAGTTTCCTTATGTAGTTCAGGCTAATCTTGAAATTGGAGCAATCTTCCTTCCTCAGCCTCCCAAGTTTTGTGGTTGGAGAGTTTTTAAAATTAGATTTTATTGGTAAATTTTATTTATTATTTTATTTATTTATTTATTTATTTTATTTATTTATTTTGAGGAACTAGGGATTGAACTCAGGCCCTTAACTTGCCAGGGAAGTGCTTATTCCACTGAGCCATCTTCCTGGCCCCTCATTGGTAAATTTTAGCTATACATGACATCACATGATATAACTTGGTGTCCATCCCCCCCCCCCCCACAGTTCCCCTAGATGGTTGGTTTTTGCGTAGTTTCATTATGTAGGTCAGACTGACCCTAAACTCACTATGTAGTCCAGGGTGGCCTTGAACTGACTTATTATCCTGCCTCAGCCCCTCAAGTGCTGGGATTAACAACAGGTGCCACTACACCCAGCCTTTCTAGTGTTGAGACAGAGTCTTCCTAAGTTGCTCAGACTGAACTAAAATTTGATAGTCTTCCTGCCTCAGTTTCCCTCTACTGGGATTAAAGATGTACAACAGTGTGCATGCCCTATATTTTTTAATTTTTTAGGCAAGGTCTTGCTCTGTAGTTCAAGCTGGCTTTAAACTCGTGAATCTTTTGCCTCCACCTCCTGAATGCTACTGAGATTGCAGGTGTCTACCACCACACCTGGCTTAATTTTTTTTAATGCACAAAATAAATCTTAAAAGTTCCTAGAGTGATTTTCTATTTACCTGACCCAATAATTGTTACAGAGAGCCTCAACTACATACCAACCCTGTGAAGAAAAAAAGGTATAGTACAGTACAACTGTAAGTATATTATTTGTTCACATCTCTGAGGTCCATACCAATGAAAGTTCACAAAACATAAGTGGAGGACTTACTGTACTAAGAAAATACTAACATATAAATAGAACAATATTTATTTATTTATTTATTTATTTTATACCAGAAATTGAACTTGCAACCTCAAGTTTGCCAGGCAGGTGCTGTGCTGCTGAGTTATATCTCCTGCAGAAAAATATTTTAATACCACAGGCAAAATGTTCTAGTGAATAACATTTAAAAAAAAAAAAATCTCAATTTTTAAGAGTAATTTACAAGATCCCATATTTTCTGTCAGATTACTGTACCTTAAAACAATGTACTTGGTACATTGTGAATTTCAATAAATATTTGTTTTATAAAGGGAATGATAAAATACAACAAAACCTACTCCTACTGGTAGAAGTATAAACATCTTTCTTGAGGGAAATAAGGATATGTACAAAAAACAGAAGAAGGAAAAAAGAAAACAATTTATTTGTAAAAATTTGCCCTGGGGAAATAATTACAAATGCAAGATTATATCTAAGTTTTTTGGTTTGGTTTCGTTTGGTTTGGTTTTGAGACAGGGTCTTCATATGTCGTTTGCCCTGGCCTTGAACTCACTATGGAGCCCAGGCTGGCCTCAAACTCATGGTGATCCTCCTGTGTCAGCCTCCCAAGTGCTGGAATTATAGATGTGTGCCCCACCACACCACCACTCCCAGCTATGTCAGTAATTTTTGTGTATGACAGTGCACTTTTCATAAAAATAAGTTACATATTCTTTAATACTACGGAATCTTACACAGTTATTAAAACCCTCATTTTGAAAAGTGTTTAGTGATGTGTAAAACAAAATGTAATATAAGAAATAGGGCTGGTGTGATGGCTCAGTGGTCTAAAGCACCTACTTAGAACAAGCTTAGCAAAAGCACAGGGACCGCGGTTCAATCCCCCAGCACCACATGCCAGCCAGCCCCGCCCCCTGGTGGGCTGAGCTGGCCACACACACACATAAATAAAATTTTTAAAAAAAGAAATAGGAACGTTGCTCAGTGGTAGAGCACCCACCTGGCGTACATGAGACCCCAGGTTCAACCCCAGAGCTCACTGGGACAAATTGTTTCCTGTTTTGTTCCCCCTATCTTTCGGGTTTGTGCCACCAGGTGGTGGCCCGTGGTGGCTCTGACACTTCCGGCCTTCTCTGAACTCCCCAAAGGCTGCTTGTCCAAGCAGGCCCAACATAGTCTTGAGAACCCTGAACTGAGGCAAAAATGAAGACCCAGCCTTCTGTGGAATGATTCTGGCCTAGGCTACAGATGTCCCTGGAACTCCAAAACTGAAAACTTCAGTGTGTGCACTAATATCTTGGGCGAGACCTGTGGCTTCCCACATGGTCAAAGAAGGCAACTTGCCATGAAAAAGCCACTCAAGGAAGGAAAATGTTAGAAGAAAGACAACGAAGTTTAATGGTGGTTATTTCTTGTGGAATTACAGCTATATATAATTTTTAAAATACTCTTCTTGATTTTCCATATTTAAAGTAAGGAACATGAGTGCCAGGTATGATGGTGCACATCTGTAATCACAGTGCTCAGGAGGCTGAGGCAGGAGGATCTCTTGAGGTTGAGGCCAGCCTGGGCTACAGAGCTGTAGGAAGGAACGGAGGAAGGGGAGGGAGGAGGAAGGAAGGAAATGAAGCAAAAAGAAAAAAGAAACATGTATGAAGACAATGAAAACACTGAAATAGCAAATTATTAAAAAGTCATGGTAGGAAAAGAAAAGAAATCATGGTCCAATAAGATATTTCTCTGCCATCTAAAAGTTTTTCAGTTGTTTTTAGTTGTTTATTTTTCCTGCAGTACTGTGGTTTAGACTCAGAGCCATCATACTAAGCTATATTCCTATCCCTTTTCAATTTTCTTTTTAAGAATTTTGAAGGAAAAAAAAAAGAAATGTTGAGACAGGGTCTTATTTAGGCCCTGACTTGTCCAGGCTGAGTTCAAACTTGCAGTCCTCTAGCCTCAGCCACTCACAGTACTGAAATGGTAGGTGTGCAGCACCATGCCTGGCTAAAAATGTACTATGAGAATTTTAAATGGAACCTGAATGCTGTAAGTGTGTTTTACGTTTAAGTAAAAAGGAAGCATTTGAAATGTAAATGAATAAAAGACCTTTAATGACCCCGAAAGGTACATACAATGGAGAGGGGCACTGAGTTAGATTCTTTACCAAGTGTATGGTCTCAACAAAGTACACAATGTAAAGTCCCTGGAGTAATGGGGGTGTAAGGAGGATTGAAGCACTCAAGGTTAGTATTCAAAAGTTACATTGCTTCCTGTATGTCATTAATGAATTTAACTTGAAATAAAAAACACAATGCTGCTTTCTCTCACCAAAAATACACAGCACTTAGATGGAGAAATGACAGTACTCTGATGAAGGAAAGCATGGAGTCTAAACAGATACTTAGGTTCACGGGTAGGTCAACTTCATACTGTTAAGATGTCACTTCATAAAAAAAGGCTGGGAGGTATCTCAATTCACAGGCTGTGAGACCCAGTACCAAAAATGGTATCGTTTTTCCCCACCCAGATTCATAGATTGAACACTACCTCAGTATCCACCAAGTTTTGTGAATAATGATAAAAGTTTATCATTGGAAGGCAAAAGATACCAAATACTCAGCATGGTACCAAAGAACACTGCCTGACTTCAGAGGGTTTTTTTAAGACTACAGTATTTGAGACACCATGGTATTCACAGAAGAGCAGGTAGATTATGGATCCCAGAGGTGAGCCTACAAACATATAATCAGCTAAAGCTACATGCCCCAGCAATTCAGTGGAGAATAGCCCTACCCTCCCTGCCCCTAGATCTGAGACAGGTTCTCACCACCTCGCCCTTGTGAGCTCAAGCGGTGGTCCTTCTCAGCTTCTGATCCCTGGGACTACAGGCAAGTGTCACATCCAATTTAAGAATTATTATTTTTAATGTATTTACTGCAGAGTCTCACTACCAGGTCAGACTCATAGTGATCCTCCTGCTTTCAGCCTCCCACTCAGAGATCACAGGTGTGCACCACCACACCCAGTCTCAATCGCTGTCTCAGCGGGCCCTGGGACGCCCAGGGATCAAACTCTGGTTGCTGCGCCTACTAAGCAGGTGCTTTAGTCCACTGAGCTATCTGGCCAGCCCTTAAGAATTGTCTTTTTAACAAAGTGCTATCACCATTGGACATCATCCAGATGCAAAAACATGAATCTAGACACAAACCTTAAATTTTTAACAAAAATAAAATCAAAGTACCAGGTGTAGTAGTAGTACATGCCTGTAATCCCAGTTCTCAGAAAGCTGAGGTAGGAGGGTCACCAGGAGTTTGAGGCCAGCCTAGGCTGCATAGCAAGACCCTGTCTCAAAAACAAAAGCAAACAAAATTTAAAACTACCCTTTGAAAGACACTTAAGAGGGCCAGTGAGACAGCTCAGTAGACTAAAGCTCCTGCTTAGGCAAGTGCAGGGACTG